TTAACAAATGGTGCTGGCAAAACTGGATATCCACCTGTAGAAAAATGAGACAAGATCCATACCTCACCCCATATACAAAAACAAACTCAAGCTGGATCAAAGACTTAAATGTAAAACCCAAAACTATAAAATTCATCAAAGATAAAATAGGGGTAAATCTGGGAGCCCTAATTGACGGCATAAATAGACTGTCAAGCATAACCCAGAATGTGCAGGAGATAGAAGAGAAGCTAGAGGACTGGGACCTTTTAAAAATTAAATTCTATGCGCATCAAAAGACTTCATCAAAAGAGTAAAAAGAGAACCTACAGATTGGGAGAAAATATTTGCCTATGACAAACGATTTATCTCCAAAATCTACAGAAAACTTCAAGACCTCAACACCAAAAAGACAAATAACCAATTCACAAATGGGCAAAAGACTTGAACAGACAGTTTACCAGAAGATATACAGGCAGCCAACAAACACATGAGAAATTGCTCACTATCATTAATCATTAGATAGATGCAAATCTAAACAACAATGAGATATTGTCTCACCCCAGCAATAATAGCAAAGTTCAACAGGACAGAAAATAACAAATGGTGGCGAGGTTTCGGAGAGATTGGAACTCTTGCGCGCTGCTGATGGGATTGTAAAATGTACAACCATTGTGGCAAATGGTATGGCGTTTCCTTAAAAAAACAGAAAATAGAAGCACCATTTGACCCAGCAATTCCATTACTACGAATATATCCTAAAGAGGTGAGAGATAGTGCATGAACAGACACATGTACACCTATGTTCATCCAGCACAATTCACTATAGCAAAAGGATGGAAACAACCTAAATGCCCATCAATAGATGAGGATAACCAAATTATGGTAAATGCACACATTGGAATACTATGCCACATTAAAGAACAATGAGGGATGTGCAAATCATCTTACAACGTGGATGAACCTGGAGGACATTATGGTGAGTGAAATAAGTCAATTACAGAAAAACAAGTACTGTATGAGCCCTTTACTGTAAAAAGACAAAGAAGGGTTTGCTTGGGACACAATTCAATCCATAACAATGGACCAACTTGACATATATAGACATATATAGAATACTGTACCTAACAATAGCATAATACATGCTCTTTTAAAGTCCACCATTGACTATATACTGGGTCACAAAGCAAGTCACAATAAATTTCAAAGGATCGAAATCAGAATATGTTCTCTGGCCAAGGAAATCACGGTAACAAAAAGATAACTATGAAAATGCTTGTCATATCTGCCAATAGATACCACAATTCTGGTTATATCCAATTGTGTTCCCACAATGAGCCTGCACTTGGGCAGATGGGGAGAAAAAAACACAACCCTGCAGACTGTTTTACGTTTATATTCACAATCCTTAGGTGAGCTCTCAATTATCACCTAGCAGTCCTAGCACATTTCTCATGTCAATTTAATCTCACAGTCAACTCCCCCTCTCTCCTCAAACCTCCAACCTTGGTGATGACTTTCCATCATCTTACTTCACTGAAAAAAGAAACCAGAAGAGAATTTCATCTAACTACCACCAATTGTACCACTTACTTGCTTCTGTGCCTGCAACATTCCACTTCCTTCTGTTATCATGAAAATGTCCATGCTTTTATGTAAGGCTAGCATTTCCATTCTCATATGTTCTGAATTCCACTGTCTCCTGCCTACTTTGATGAGGCAGGAGAGAAAGGAAAGAACTGGAGGAACAGTTACTCTCAGTAGGATACATAATGCTGTAATGCTACCTATTCTAAAACATATACATATACATATATCTTGACATTCCCCTCTGGCTTCTGCTTCACTTGTCTGCTTTCTCTCACCTACCATTCTACCACTGAATATACTCAAATAGGCCTTCATTCTACCATTATCATAGTACTTGTTCCTACCAAAGTGATCCATGACTTCTGTGGTACCAGATCCAATGGTCCGTTCTCAGCAACTTTCTTGACACTATCAATCACTAACTCTTCCTTAAACACTCTCTTCTTAGCTTCTGGAATATCACCCTCTCCTAATTTTCTTCCTACCTTCTAGGCCATGCCACTCCTTATTAGGTTTTTTTTTTTTTTTGTTCCCCCTGACCCTTCATGATCTTTAGATGTTGGAGGGGTCCAATTCAAGTGACCTCTTCCCTATGTGTATTACCCTCAGTGACTTCATCCAGTTCTCTGGCTTTAATACAATCCATATGATGATGACTCCCAAACTGACATCTCCAGCCTACACCTCTCCTTTGACTCCAGGCCTGTTGACCTAACTGCTTGCTTGACATCTCTGCTTCCATACCTAATAGTATCTCAAACTTAACTGAATTCCCTGCTCTTCCTTCCTATGATAATGTATTAGTTTCCTATTGCCCTTGTAACAAATTACCAGACTTGGTGGCTTAAAACAAGACAGATTTAGTCTTTCACAGTTCTAGAGGCCAGAAATCTGAAATCAATATCACTGGGTTGAAACCAATGTGTTGGCAGGGCCTTGCTTCCTCTAGAGGCTCTGGGGGAAAATCTGTTTCCTTACCTTTTCCAGCCTCTAGAGCTGTATTCTCCTTGGCTCATGGCCCCTTCCACTACCTTCAAAGTCAGCAGTAGTCACATTACTGCACATGAATCTTCTGTGCTGTCAAATTTACCTCTGTCTGTCTCTGACAAGGATACTTGTGATTTCATTTAAGGCCTACCCAGGTAATCCAGGATAATCTGATTTCAAGATCCTTAATTGAATCACATCTACAAAGTCTCTTTTGTTGTATATAAGGTAACATTCACAGGTCCTGGGTATTAGGATATGGACATTTTAGGGGCCATTATTCAGCCTCCCAAACATAGTAAGTGGATCACCATTCTACAGTTGCTTAAGGTAACAACAATAACTTGGAGTCATCCTTGATTCTTCTTTCTTCCAAACCTTATATTCACCCCATTGGAAAATCTTTTGGGCTCCATATTTAAAATATATCAAGAACCTGATGATGTTTCACCACCTCCCTGCCGTATCTTTTAGTTTGTTCTTAACACAGCAGCCAGATCGATTCTTTAGAAATGTGAGATTATGTCACTGCCTTGATTAAAATCCTTCTATGGCTTTCTCTCTCACTTTGGATTTATTCTAAGCCCCGATTGGCCCTATATGAGCTGGCTTTTGTCACCCCTGACATCACCGTATCCTACTCTTTCCCTCATTCACTGTACTCTAGCTACAATGGCCTTCCCCTTGTTCTCAGAGTCTCAATCCCACTTGGCATTTAGAGCTCAGATTCTATTCACCTCCAGAGATAGGGCCAATTTAAATTAGACTTCCAGTTTCTCTATTACATTTAATGCTCCCCCCCCAAGTCCTTAACGTTTACTGTTCCCTGAAATTCTGATTTATGGTCTGTCTCCCCAAGAAGAATATATGTTCCAAGAGCACAAGGACTTCATTGCTCATTCACAGCTGTTTTCTAGCCACCTAGAATAGTGCTTGGCACACAGTAGACAATAAATACTTAATGAATTACTGCACATGAATCTTCTTTTCTCCCCAGTCTGACCACCTCCCCTAGGACCTGGGGAATGTGCAGAAAGCAAAGAAGAATGTGACTGGAATCTGAAGTCTCCCCCGACTCTCTTAAAGAGATGTACCTGTAGGACTTTCTGTGCTTGAACGTCGACCACAAGGACTCTGCTCAGTGTTGGCTGGGCCACATAGATGTACCGGTTCCTGACATTGACTGCAGATGCCCACTGGCATGGCTGGATGGCATCTTCTGCTTGAGGGCAGATTTCTTCCTGTAAAGGAGATAGACTATCATATATCTTCTTTATTCCACTCTTCCTCTATCCCCCACCAAGATCTCTGGTTCCCTCTCCCTTGACCCTTCTCTAGTAGTTGGCTCCACAGAACTTGGCAGAAAAACCCTCCTATAACACCGACTTTTCCACTTATCTATTACATTATGCTGCTTCCTGCTGGACAAAGTAGAAAGGGCTGAGAGAGAAGGCACACCTTCTACTCACCCAGCTTTTTAGAAAGAGGGTTGCTGTCCCATTGCGACACACTTGTGAGATGTTTCTCATTTTCTAGATGAGAAAAGAATATTGGGGATCGTTCCGCAGCTCACCATGGCCCTGTGTTGCCTGCAATGTCTTCAGGGTCTTTCTCACTGTGTCTTGTTCTACCTTCTTACCCAGGAAAATGGAGTCCTGGTTAGGATTGGAGCTATTTCTCTCCCAAGGCACATGTTGGGTTATTGAAAATACGTAAGAAAATTAGTCTCCATAGGTAACTGAATACAATTATTTAAATCTAACTGCTAGAAGTTAACTAGGACCATTCTTTTGAAATGGCTTCATGGCTATTATGTGGAGGTAAAATTCTTCTGAGATAGGACACTTTTAAAAAATGATTAATTCAAATGAAATAGCCTGGAAAACAGCCATTTCCAAGCTACAAAAGTGAGGAATGCAACAGCTTGACAAACGCCAGCAGCCAGAGCAGCAATGCAACAAGTTTGTTTCAGGAACTTGCCTGAGTCCAGCTACCTCCTCCACCTCCAAGCCCATTACTGCTGTCCTCAGCAGTTTACATTTTGCCCATGCTGAGGACAGACGGTGCATATCCCAGGGGGTGATCCTTCAGGAGGAGGGTGTGTGGGGATTTTAGATGACCTTTTGATTCAATGCCATAGTTCCACCTTGAGGAGCTTTGGGCTTGGTAGAGGAAGTAAGACCCTCACACAAGAAACCAACACCATAGGCAAAGTGGGATAAAAGCCAGGAGGACAGAGGCCTGGAGTGGTGCAGTGGGGCACAGCCCAGGGAAAGCCTCTTGGCAGCTGGGTCTTAGGACTGGGAGGGATTTCCCCACCAGCAATCATCTCTCCTGCCTCTGCACATTACATTATCACTTTCTACCTGGCCTTATATTTTGTTCACAGCACTTCTGATACTCTGGGCATTCACATATTTCCACACTCTCTCCTCTAGCTTCCTGAGGGCCACTCCAAGCTCTTCTCCTATACTGCCTGGCTGACCAGTTCTTGCTTTCACAAACATAGCCTTCCTTAGGGTCTGTGGCCCCATGTTCTTTAGGCCTCCTTGCTTCTTTGTTTGCTTGAGAGCCGAGGTGTCTCCAGTTCACAAATACATTTCCCCACTGTTTGTGGCTGTTTCTGTGCCTGTGTCCCATAGGCACCTCAACTCAGCTTATCTCAGCCTCATCTGATCAACAGCAAGCCTATATCTGTCCTGGGCCTGGCATGGGACATAGAGCTGGTATAGTGTTGGGTGAGTGAACTGCATTTCCCACGATTAGCTCCTCTTCCTCCCATGTGAAGAGCACTATACACATAGTAAGCCATTGGGTAATTCTCCCTGTTGGTCTCAACTTTTAAATGGTGTAGTGCCTAAGGCATTTGACTGCTAACTAGGAATTACTAACACTCCTTGGAAGGAAGACTGGGCAATCTACTTCCATAGAGATACTTCCTCGGAAACCCAAGGAGGAGTCACTATGAGTCAGAATCTACTCGACAGCAGTGAGTTTGGTTTTTTCACAATCTACCTAATTCTTTCCAGTCCCACTACCACCAGTGTAATCTTTTCACTACCCACTTGTCTGCTTCTAGTCTACCCTTCTAATCATGACCCTCCCTGAGGCCCTGTGTACATTTTAAAGCAATCTGATCATGGCCATTCTTTGCTTGACATCCTTCAGTGGTTCCCAGAACTTTTAGGATCTCATTAGAACTCCTCAGCTTAGCACATTGTTATGTGCTTTCACCCTTGCTACTTTTCTGACCTAGTCTTAGACCCATTTGTACACCTATTCTATTCTTCCCTCTATTGTACAGAAATATTTGTGGTTCCCTGAACATATTGGCTATTTAGACCTCTGTTCTTCATCTGAGGTCACCAATTCCTACTTGTGCTTCAGAACCGGGCTCAGGCATTGCCTGCCCTAGAAGCTGCCTTTGACTTTTTCTCTCCAGGTTGGGGGAGGCCTCCGTCTCCAATATTGCACCTTGCACATTCTTGTAATAGCACTGTTTGGTGGCTGGCTGTTCACACTGTTCTGTCATTTGATTGTGAACTTATAAAGACAAGAAACCTATCTGTATCCCTGGCCCTCAGTACATGGATATGTCTGCTGGATGAAAGAATGAGAACTTTAAACTCTCAGATTTGGAACAAATTTGGAACCACACTAAGTACAACAAATGGAATTTAGGAAATACATGGGCACACATGGTTAAAGGTTGACTTTTAGGATTTTGTCTATGTGTGATGTAGAAGCAGCCACAGACATAGAAACTTACATAGCTCATGAAAATCTTCTCGTTGGGTTTGAGATGCCTCTGGATCTCACAGTCCACAGGGTGGATGACCACAATGCCGTTGTCAGAGAAGACATAGAACATGTTTCCCACACTGAGGCCTGGAAGGAGCAAGCAAAACCGTGGTTAGGTGCCCCTCCAGCGACTGGACCCAGTCAGGGTCACATGCAACATGAAGCACACACAAACCCAGCAGTTTGGATGCAACTGGTATAGGCACAAGATGAAACTTCCTGGTCAAGGTGGGCTAAGGTGATGAGCAGCCAGCTTAGAAACTTGGCTTGGTGGTAAGTGTGGGGCAGAGGACGAAAGGGCCCTTGAGGGTTGGGAGTCAGTAAAGCACATCACAGACTCTGCAGTGCTGAGGCAGCCTCCCTGACATGCATATTGGTCCTGTCTTCTAGGGCTGGCCCTCAACACTAGTTTTCAAATGAATGATGGCCTTGGTTTGATATATGTTTGACCTTTCCTGTACTGAAGGAAGACCAGCCTTTGATCATTGGTTGTAAACAGTTAAATCAGAATGGATCAGAAGACTCCAAAAAAAGCACAGGCTTTTGATATTTAAGACCCATTTGTGTACAGCATCACTCTCTGTAACGTGGGGTCACTTGATGGTGTAAACAGGTAATGTGCTTGCTGCTAAAAGACAGGGTGGAGGTTTGAGTCCAGTCAGGGATGTTGCAGTAGACAGGCCTGGCATCTACTTCCAAAAAATAAGCTATTGAAAATCCTGTGGAACACATATCTACTTGGACACACACAGGGTCACCATGAGTCAAGATTGACTCAACAGCACCTTTTTTTAAAAAGAATCCTGTGGTGGTTACTCTTTTGTCCAATCTTAGTCCTGGTTGGTCTGGGCTGGCTAACGCCCCCTCCTTGACAGCTTGCTCACACTTCAGTCCTGCCCAATTCTCTGTGCCAGCCCCATGCCAGGCAGATGGAGCCCACACCCTGGCCATGCCCATCTCCCTGCCCCACCTAGGCTGAGGGTTGTGGCCGGCTGGGAAGAACATCCACTTCAGACTGTCAGAGGACAGGCCTTGGGGACCAGCTAGTTTAAAGACAAACTGAAGTCTGAGGAGGGGAAGGGGCTTGGTTGAGGCTACCTGCTTTGAGCTAGAGCTGGGGTTGGATCCAAGCCCCTGTGTGCCCCCCCAAAGGTAAACATGGCACAAAGATAACTAAGGACTAGAGTTTTCATTCTCTCTCATTCCCGCTCCCCTTTCTTCCTCCCTCCATTTTAAAGCTAGAACATTTAAAAGATTTCTACAAGTTTTAAGAAAATTAAATATAAATGAAATATACATTGAACTCCTTCTTTCCTAGCATACTGAGAAAGCCAGTGTACTGGTTTAATTGCCTATCTGGTTAAATTCTTAGTGAAACAGTAAGCAGTAAACCAGGAAAATAGGAATCACAAATGCACTTCCTTCCAATGGCTCTGCAGGCAGTTTTTTGGGCCTTGGTGTTTGGCAACAGGGGGGCATCAGTGAGTGTGGTCTCTGTGATGTGGCTTGAGGTTCTCAACTCTGATACAGCCCTACTGTCTCAGCGTTTGTGCTGAGAGGGACTCCAGGCAGGTGGCTCCTGCTTGAGTCTAGCCTCTATGAGGCTGTAACTCCAGGCAGGACTGCAGAGCCCCTGTGAGAGCGCAAGCGGCTGGGCACCCTGTTTCTCAAGATCCAGGTAAGGCTGGCTGCCTGCTAAGAGCCTCCTCTCTGCTCCTACAACATGTGGAAATTTGAAGCAGGGGATGGTAGCACACATTTGCTCTGACCCCATCTATCTTGCCCACAGCAGGATCTTCTCTTCCACATACTCTCACCTAGAAAACTTCTTTCATTTCAACCTAAGGTACAGAGAGGAGTCAAAGTCTCTACTAAACCGCAGACGCCAGGAACCACTTTCCTGGGCTTCCTTGGAAATCAATAGCTGGAAGAGCCAACATAAGTTTGAAGGCTTAATAGAATCCACATGGGGTTGGTAGCTGTAGCTACATTTCGGGCTGAGCACAGTGCCTTGCTTGCTGTTGGCAATGGAATGCAAGGCTCAACAAATACTCATCCAACAAATAATTGACTTCACAGGAGTCCCCCTGGAAGGTTCTGTCTGAGTTTAACTTCTGCTAAGGGGCATGCAGCAGCTTTCTTTGCTTTTGTCTACTCTCATTGTCTCATTTCTCCTACTGAGACTTGCGAGTGCTCCAAGGCCTGTGCTGCTCTGTCTCTGGGCCTTGGGTTTTAGTAGCAAAGGGTACAAGTGTCCACTGGTTGTCTCAGCATACAAGTGGAATTGGTTCACTGTCCAATGTTAGTGCAGTGCCAGCCAACTTCGAAGGCCCCAGGGCAGCTGTAGGGCTCAGGCTTTTGGGCCTCTGCAGCTCCATCCACACACCATAGGGCCTCCCTGTCTTCTTTGCAATTTTCCACTTATAAAACTGTAGCCCCTTGGCAGAAACCTCACCTTAGAAAAACAAAACAACCTTAAAGCAAAAGCTCTGTGTGTGTGTCGTGGCCTAAGTACTAAGTGCAGGCTGCATCAGGCATGAGTAAGGGACCGTTATCAGCAACTGTTACTCTGACTTGTTTCCCCAGGATCCCTAAAGCAATTCCTCATTTTCTGTCCTCTGCCTTGTTTTGCTGCCAGATTGTTGCAGCTTTCATGTCTGACACTCAGAAAACTGTTCTGATCATGCGTATGTTTGTGTGTCCTAGGCTGTAGGTAACACTGCACAAAGTTCTTGAGAAAAATCAGACAGGAAATGTACTGGTTTTTAAAGAGGGAGATTTTGTACTTCACCTAACGTCACATAGTGTATTCTGTTGCTTCTCAAACTCCCACTTTGCCTGCCAAATTGGAGAACAAATGCCTTTAAGGTGGTTTGAATTTTCTGGTCCAGGGGTCACAGATGAGGAAAGGGGCCCCACATGGGCATGAGCCTTCCCCCACCCCCCAGCAGTGACTCAGATTCTGTAATTGGCTCCCACATGCGTGCACTATCTTTTCAAAGTATAGGTTGAACCATACAGGAAATTGTCAATATTAGACCATTTTTGACTCACAAAATTGGCACTTAGATTCAAACCAATAGCTAAAGATTGTTTGATCATTAAAATACATACTTTAGAATCTATACAGTTTAAAATAGAATTTTACAGACATCATGGTAGCTCTGCTCTCAAGTGGATCTGCAACTCCTCCCCCCACCCCGCCCCACCCCACCCCACCCCATCTCCCAAGTAAGCAAAACACTAAGCCCAATGTCAATATCAGCTACTGGAAAAATGTTTAAGGGCCAGATCGGACTGGGAATCTCTACCAAATGGTCTACTTTAGCTGGAAGCTATATAAGCACTTTTAAATGGAAACTTTCCATTTTCAAACTTGCCATTAAAGACACCACTAGATTTTAGATCTGATTCAATGTGTGTGCCATCTGAGTCTGGCATTGACCTCTCCTCCCAATCCAAAGGTGATGTGGCACAGTGAGGCCCCCTTGTGGGTACTGCTTGGTGTCTGGGCAAGCTGATAAAGGCTCATGGAAGGATAGCCCTGATGGAACCATAAACACACGTGATCACAAGCACAACAGAGAACAATTAAGCTGGGTACCTTCCTCTCGCCACAGAATGTTTGCAACTGCAGCGGTGGAGAATTGGGAACGCGGGAACATGATTGATGGAAGGAAAGAAGAAAGTAATGTCAGAACCTTCATTGTAGTGACTCAACTTGTGAACATACCAGTACCTAGTTTGTCGTTTACAGAACTGGCACCCATTCATCGCCTAGCAAATAGTACTTGGTGGGGAGAGTGACTCTGGAGATGAACAAATGCTTCTAGGTCTCAAGATCCTTTTGATGCCTGAATGGATCTTTGAGATTAGATCCTAGGATCACAAAAGCTAACGGGATTCCCCACATTTGGATAAAGAGTTAGCAATCTCTCTCCCAGATTTCCTGGATTACTTCCAGCAGAACTCTGATTTTTCCACTAGCATTCTGAAAACCCTTAGGAAGACCATCAGAAATACTTCTGATTATCTCCTTTGATAATAAAGACTTAGCTTGGAATCTTTGACCAAGGGAAAATGACTATGACCAAGAACTGTGCCCATGAAATTATACCTGAAGGCCCACTTGGGGAGCACACTTAGCATACAGGTGGACTACAATCTCTGGGACAGGGGCCAGCACATGCCCAACAGAGGTTAGTTTATGGGCCACTGTAGGATGGCAGTGCCTGGTGGGAAGGCTGAATGAGGGATTTTGTGGATGAGGGGCAGAGGTTCAAGCCAAAGAATGAGTAGGGGGCAGACTGGGGCAGGGATAGTCCCTGTGGTCCTGAGCTCTGTCTACAACCCAGAGAGTTTACCTTGTTTATGTTGTCAGAGTAGTTTAAGTTTCCAGGCAGGTCTCCTCACCCCTGCATACCCTCTGTCCTCAGCTTTGTGCACAGAAACATATAGGGGTCTACCTGTGTCTTTAGGAGTTCAAGAGTGGCAGCTGTGACCCTGGTCTCATAGTGTCCTACCTTGCCACCCAACCACCCCTAAATACTCAATGAGGAGCTCAAAGGCAAGAGTAGACTCACGGGTCTTTCGAGCAGAGTCTTCAATGAAGAGTGAGGAGATATCTTCATCCACGCCTACTTCATTTTTGGCAATGCAGGTGTACGCCCCAGTGTCTTCATACCGAACACTGCCGATATGGAGTTCACTCCCATTGGCTGCAGAAAGGACAGTGCTCAGGGTGGCCTGCTGAGGCAGAGACCCCAGCCACTCCCTCCCCATTCTCTTCATGGGCCTTGGGATTAAAAAATATCAGGGAAGCCAATATCCCTGATGTATGCCCATGAAGGGTTGGCACAGAGGAAATGAACTAGTGTGACCTGGGGAGCTACATGTCCACTCCAAATGAGCCTAAAGTTGGAAATGAATCACATTTTTCATTTCCATTCCTAGGGAAAGAGTATCAGTTGGAGACAATGACTGTTGGGCACCAAGGGCACTTAGTTCTTACCTAAAAGAGAGAGCTGTTTAGACATCTGGGTTGAAACATTCACACCATTTTTCAGCCAAGTGATTCTGGGCATGGGAATACCCTCTGCATGGCATCTCAGGCTGGCTGCTATCCCGGGCTCCTGTGCCTGGGTCTCTGGGTAGACCCGGATAACGGGTGGTACTGTGGGTGAGAGTCATCACTGTGTAAGAGGAGGGCCTCACTTGGCCTCAGGCCTGTGGTCCAGCCCTGAGATCCTGCTTCCGAGTGGTGAACCCCAGAGAGGACTCTAGTATTCTCTTCTTACCCAGCTTACAAAGATCCTGCTTGGCAACTTAAGCTCTAAAAGAAAGGTCTATAAAATGGATTGCAGGCAATAAACACCTCAGGCTTTCATCAAGCCATAATTCATGGCTTTCATCATTATTCTAAATACAATCAGAAAGACATCCTAAGATTTAATGCTGTTCAGATGCTACATGTAAAGAGCAATAGCCACTGAAATATATTTCTGAATGAATAAAATTCAGATACATTATTTCTGTTATCAGAAAGCCATGGGACAGGGGCTTAATTTCTTACAGGAAGTGCTTAACAAAGCACTTATGGGCACTGACTGGCAAGGCTACTAATTACATCACCACTCTGGGCACATCTAGTGATATTCCACTGGGCCACTTTTGTTTCTCTACCTCCCTTCCCTTAGCATATTGACGAAAGGCTAGGCATGCCCTCCTCGGTCGCTAGTGGTCAGTGCTGTGGGTGTGGCCTGGCTCATCCACCACATGAGCCTGGGTGGGCTAGGCTTTTGCTCCCTTCATAAAGTTGTGGCCTTTCTTGCATCAGCTGTCTGAGGGGGAGGTGCCTGGAAGAAGAGAGGCCCATTCATGAGAATCCTATTCCCACCTGTGGCCTCAGAAAAATAAAACAGTGATCAATTTCAATGGAATTGAGGAAGATGGGTCAATCTACTTCCGTAGTGATACTGCCTTGGAAACCCAAGGAGGGGTCGCTACGAGTCAGGTCCGACTCGACGGCACATAACAACAACAACATTCATAAGGGAGTCTCTGGGTGGTGTCACGGTTAATGCACTGTGCTGCTAACTGATAGGTTAGCAGAAGTACCTCAGAAGAAAGGCCTGGTGATCTCTTTTGAAACAATAGCCATTGAAAGCTCTATGGAGCACAGGCAGTTCTAGTCTGACACACATGGCATCACATTGAGTTGGAATCGACTGGATGGTAACCAACATAAACTTATTCATACATATTACTCTACACACTTCCAAAAAAGATTTGTGAAAACATGTAGTAAAGAAAGGAGCCATAGTGGCACAATTGTTAAAGCACTCAGCTGCTGACCAAAAGGTTGGTGGTTTGAACTCACTAGCCACTCCGTGGGAGAAAAATGTGACAGTCTGCTTCCGTAAGTAGACTTGGAAACCCTATAGGCACTTCTACTCTGTCCTATAGGGTAGCTATGAGCATGAACTGACTTCATGGGAGCAGGGTATAGTAAAGACACTTGGAGACTAAGTAAAACAAAAGTATCCAGACCTTTTGGAAAAGTGGGAGATAAATTCTTCCTGAAGCAGACCACTATTTTCCTAAAGTTATCAGGAAGTTCCTATTGTCTAATAAAATAAAACATCCCTGTACTTGAGGAGATTTTTTCTGGAACCTGATTGTAGAGCAAATACATGCTTAATACATGAGGAGGTTTTGGTGTTGATCTTGGAACCTGAGCAAGGTAATAGAATTCTAGTGACTTGTGCTTGGGATAGGCAGGAAACAAAAGCAAAACTCCATTGCTCCGTCATTAGAAATGCACTCTGCAACTCCTGTCAAACTTCTCAGGGGGGCAGCTAACAATTCCATCAACTCAGTCTGTTTCAAATCTTTCCTCTGGTTGATATGGGGCTAAGTGTGTGTGTGTGTGTGTGTGGGACTGTGTGTATGTGTGGTGGGCAGAGAAGAAAGTCAATTGGACAACAGGCAAAGGGCATGATCCAACCCTCTGAATGGCCCAGAGAAGTTTCAAAAACATGAGCTCAGAGGCATCTGATGCCAAACCACACAGAGACCCAACAACAATAAAATCTGGAGTACTTCTCAGCTTTCTCTCTGCTCACAGTTCTGTGGTGAGTCCCATGGTGTAGTAGAGGGGCTTTGTCATGATCAGGCTGCTAGGGGTGTAGGAGGTAAGTGGGGATGTGCAGAGGCACATCTGGGAGAGTTGCTTAGAACATAAAATTGTATCTCTCTTCTCTCCCTCCCCTTAGTTCAGAGGAAAGAAATACTAATCTATCTAGGAAACTGCCCTGCACTCATACTTAGTGAAGGGGAGAACAAAGTTCAAGTTGAATAGATGGTACAATTTTGTCCCAGGGAGGCTATAATCTAAGAACATAGAGATAGAAGGCAGGGGCCTAGGAATACTGGACAGTGAGGCATTGGAGAAGGTGGTAGAGCACCCAGTATTCTAGGGTGGGGTGGCTAGAACCCAGGGATTTAAACATGGGCTCTTACTGAATCAACATTTTATTTATAGAAGCTTACTTAGCAACCACAAAGTAAACCTAAAAAAAAGTGGGGAGAATCAATAGAGAAGCAGAAATGAATGAGTCAATTAGAAAGCCAAGAAGAGAGTAGAATTGATAAGCAAATTTAAGAGCTGGCTATTTATAAAAACCAATAAAAACAGAAACCAAACTCACTGCTGTCCAGTCGGATCCAACTCATAACGACCTCTCTTTGGGTTTTCGAAGCAGTATCACTACGGAAGTAGATTGCCCAACCTTCCTTCTGAGGAGTGGCTGGTGGGTTTGAGCTGCCAGCCTTCTGGTTAGCAGCCTTAGGCACTACGCCACCAAAGCTCCCATAAAAACCAATAAAACAGCCAAATTTCTAGCATGTTTGATCAATGAAAAGAAATATATATAGAGAAAAAACAGAGGGGCTTAAAAGATAAGAAATGACTGTATTTAATTATGTTAATAACTGTGAACATCTCAATTAAATGGACTCTCTAAAAGGAAACTTTGGGAGCTCTGGTGTGTATTGCCTAAGGCATTTGACTGCTAACCAGAAGGCTGGCGGTTCAAACCCACCAGCCACTCCTCAGAAGGAAGATTGGGCAATCTGCTTCTGTAGTGATAACCACCTCGGAAACCCGAGGAGGAGTAGCTATGAGTCAGAACCGACTCAATGGCAGTGAGTTTTTTTTTTTTTTTTCAGAAGGGGCACTTTAAATTCACAATATTGAATAAAGAAGGGAATATTTTAAAAATTCTTAAAATTCAAAAGGCATGGGTCAAGATTTTTAGGGCATTCTTTCATACCTTTAAGGAGTGGATAATTCCTAGAGCCTAAAACAAAGAGATAGTCCAAATTTTATTATGAAGGTGATATAACCTGGAGACCAAAACCTGACAAAACGAGCACAAAGAAGATGACTACAGACCTGTCCCATTAGGACCAGATATACCAAAATCCTAAGTAAAATATTAGCAAATCAAACCTAGCATAGTACTGAAGGACTATACTGTGACCAAGTATAATATGTTTCAATGACTAAATATTAGGAAATCTGTAATTAATCATGTCTGAAGTCAAAGGCAGTCAAAGGAGCAAAGCCATTTGATTCTCTTGTTAGACACTGAAAGCTTTTGAGAAAAGTTCAAAATCCATTTCTTGGGTAAAAAATATAATCTCTTAATAAAATAGGCCCAGAAGGATATTTTCTTCCTACACTGAGGAATGTCTCTATAAAGTGAAGAAGTAGCACCATTCTTTTAAGAGTGGTGAAACATTGAGTCAGGAAAAAAGAAAGGAAGCAAAAATCGACTCTCAGCCTCATACTGGATGTTGTCAATGGAAGGCAAGAAATGAGAGGCACAAATATTAAAAAGATGGAGAAAAGTGATATTTTACCTGGTAAAATACCCTCCAGGAAATAAACCAAAAAGCAGCAAGAATTAAGTCAGTACAGTAATGAGGCCAGTACCAAAACATACAAAATTTATAGCTTTCTTATACAGCAGCAGTGACCAGAGAAAAAAATAAAACAAAAAAGAAAAACAAACCCATTGCCACCAAGTTGATTCTGATGTGAAGAAAACTATAAAATTTTACTGAAGACAAAAAAACAAAAAAACAAAAAAACAAAACCAACGAATAATTGAGAGATAGATTCTTGGATGGGAAGATTCAATATTGTAAAGAAACAATACACTCCCAATTAAACCAAACACTTAATTCAATTCCAATGAAAATCAATTGATAGGTCTTGACAAAAGAATTCTAAAATTCCTCTGGAAGAAAAAAGGTGTAAGAACAGCTGAGTAAATTTTGAAAAATGAGCACAATGACTGTCATTTTGCCATACCAAATATTACAAAGTACTACAACACCACCAAACCAAAACCAAACCAAACTCACGGTTGTCGAGTTGGATCTGACTCATAATGACCCCTCCTTGGGTTTCCAAGGTCGTATCGCTAAGGAAGTATATTGCCCAACCTTCCTTCCCAGGAGTGGCTGGTGCGCGTGAACCACCAGCCTTCTGGTTCGCAGTCAAACGCCTTAGGCACTATGCCACCAGAGCTCCCTAAAATACCACAGAGTATTATAATACTCGCTTTGTATACAACCCTTCCCTAAAGGGAGCGTCTTACAAACATTGCTAGGCTAGGATGGTGAGTGTGGTGGAACCTCAGGACAGGAGAGAGAAAGGAAGAGGGAGAGACATGGAAGGGCTGAGGGTGTTCTGGTTTAAGTATGGCACATTAAAGTCTTGATTGAGTTAATAAAGCTCTGTCCAATATAATAGCCACTATTATTATTAAATGTCACCCAAATGTTAGGCAATATGCACTCAACCTTGAATAAAATCCAAAACCAAACCCACTGCCATCCAGTTGATTCTGACTCATAGCAACCCCCATTGGGTTTCCAAGGCAGTAAATCTTTACGGAAGCAGGTTACCTCATCTTCCTTCTGTGGAGTAGAATAAGGTAGCCTCAAACCTGTGTGGAGTTTTCTGTCTGAGAGGAAGGTGATAAAATAACTGTAAAGTGTGACAAGCCATATCAGAAAGCAGCTTTGGGAGCATGGGGAAGGGGCACCTGGGAAGGCTTCTATTATCAGATTAGTGAGTAGGACTCACATTCTCCACCCTCC